GAGGAGACGACTGACGAGGCAGGAGCGTAGGATGAGCAGCGAAGACGGTGAGACGAAGAGGAGAAGAAGAAAAGAGCAGAGGAGGGGGAGGAGAGCACGAGAGACGAAGAAAACGAGAGAGAAGAGAGACGAGAGAATGAGCATGGATGAGCTAGATAAGGAGCGAGAGAGGAGGAGAAAGAGGAGACGAGAGCGAGAAACAAGAGGAGAATGAGAAAAGAGAGAGGCTACAGAGTGCGGAAGAATAAGGGAGACGGGGAGCGTTAGGAAACGAGACACGAGAGAAGAATGAGATGAAGGGAGCTAAGAAAAGCGAGGAGACGACGAGAGACGAGACCGACGAAGACCAGCCACGATCACAGACGAGAGAGAGGAGAGAGAGAGACGAGTGCAGGCGTGACGCTTGGAAGAGAGAAGAGAGATGAGAAGACTGCGAGAGACGGGAGAGAGAACGATAGAGAGAGAGAATGACAGGGGTGAGAAAGATGGAAAGAGGCGTTTGCAGTCTGCCAGGCACACTGGGTTTGATCGGGCCATGAAGGCTAGAAATAGACCGTCGCATGCCTGCGCTGTGTTATAAACACATATTTTTAAAAAAAAAAAAAATATTAAGTACAACTACTATTATCAGAAAGCAGTCTACAATTAGGATCTTATATTGAAAACAGTATAGATCTCTGTATTTCTGTTCTGTCCATCCTGCTGATGCCTATCTCCACCCTACACCGCCGCCACGGAACGAAGTGAGCACGACCGACTCTGCTCACTTAGCGGCTCTCTCGACAGTTTCCCTCTGCTCTCTCTATCTCTTGCTTCTCTCTCTCTCTCTCTCTCTCTCTCTCTCTCTCTCTCTCTCTCTCTCGCTCTCTTCTCGCTCTCTTCTCTCTCTATCCTTCCCTCTCTCTATATATTTTTCTCACTCCCTTCTGGTTTTCCCATCTCCTCTCTCCATTTCTTTCTATTTCTTATGAATGCTCTAATTTTCTCTCTCTCCCTTTTTCTCCCCCCCTCTCACTTGCTCTCCTTTTCTTCCTCTGTCCGTTCTCTGTCTTTTCATCTCCACACACTCCCCTTCTTATTCTCTTTCTGTCTCTCTCTCTCTCTCTCTCTCATGCTCAACCAATCTCACAATCTCTCTCTAATAAGATATAGCAACATAATTGTAAATGTATGTATGTGTCTAAGACGTTGATTGTAGCTAATATGGTCTCATAGCGCCTCCTATCGACAGTAAAATGTCTAATTAAACGTTTAACTTTAATTTGACTAAATGTATGTATTTATGTATGTATGAGTCTAACGCGTTCATTGTGGTTAATATGGTCTCGTAATGCTATCTATCGGCAGCAAAAATGACACATTAAACGCTTAACTTTTATTTCACTACATGTCTGTGCATCATCTGCATAATAGTCATATAATAAATAATTATTCATAAACTTTTTACTATAGGTAGCGGGCACGAAATTTGCAAAAGTAGTATTAAAAGTAACGCATGTGTTTGCAAGCATAAATGCAACAAGTTTCAAGTCATGTAAAAATCATCCTGGCACTGTATTTGCAGCTGCCATTGCCAGAACGTGTGGCGCGTTTCTTTGTCTCTAAAAGTCTGAAATCAGCAGTTCATCGGTGAGGGCGCCACATTCCACATGGGGCAGTACATGGCCGCTTTCAAGGCAAGGAAAGTCGTACAGTAGCTGCCATAACTGGTAAATGCTTCATGCTGTCTCTTCCGCCTCCTCCTCTCTCTCTCTCTCTCTCTCTCTCTCTCTCTCTCTCTCTCTCTCTCTCTCTCTCTCTCTCCCTCTTTCTGTCCCTCTCACACAATCTGTCCCTTTCATACTTCCCCTTCTTTCTCACCATCCTACTATCTCCCATGTTAGCACAAAATTCGCAAAATTTATATTAACTGTAATGCATATGCTAGCTAGCAAGCATAAATAAAACACTTTTAAAAATCATATAAGATTCATCATGACACTGTATTTGCAGGACCCACTGCCAGAAAATGAGACGCATTTCTTTGTCTCTAAACGTCTTAAATCAGCAGTTCATCGGTCAGGGCGCCACCTTCCACATGGGGCAGTACATGGCCGCTGTCATGTAAAGGAAAGTCATATAGTAGCTCCCATAACTGGTAAATGCTACAATGTATGTCTGTCTCGTCCTCTCTCTCTCTCTCTCTCTCTCTCGTTTTTTAGCTTCCTCTCTCTCATTTTCTCTCTCTCTCTCTTGTTATCTAGCTTTCTCACTCTCATTCTCGCTCGTTCTCTTTCTAATTCTCTCTCGTTCTCTCTCTCTCTCTCTCGTTTTCTAGCTCCCTCTCTCTCTCTCTCTCTCTCTCTCTCTCTCTCTCTCTTGTTATCTATCTTTCTCTCTCTCATC